TTTTCCCAATTCATGCACCTTGGTAAGAAAAGTGACAAATGTCTGTTCTAAGAGTCCCGACAAGTCACTAAATGATATCGTGGATGAATTTGCACAATCTAACTGTGATTGAAGTTGGAGAGAGTAATAAGTCTGAGGAGATACAAAAAGTCAGTAAAGCTACTATTTATGCTTTCCTTTAGTTTCTGCTTTGGCTTTCTATCTAAGAAATATTCTTAGGTCAAAGAGCAAAGTCCAAGCCTTAACAGTTTAGGCTAAGTTAGGGCTTAACTTAACCATAACCCTCTGACTTTTCCAGTCCAAAACATGGTTTTCTTAGAAATGTTTCCTAATACTATCAGTACCGAAGGGTATTCAATAGTAAATTGTTTTAAATATTGGACTGTTGTACAACTGCAGCTTTTAAAACCCAATCATTTCTCCCTACCAAGGTAATGTGCCTTTTTATATTTGGTATATATCAGGAACATTTGCCACAAGAGATGAAAAATCTATAAAAATGATAAATGGAATACATTATATTTCAAATTAGTTCTACACTATGTGGAAATATCCTCGCACACACACAGGAGGACAATACTGTAACATCGTCGACTTAACATCCAAATCTGCTCATTAACTCTTCGCCGGCGGTTAAGTCCTGTCTTCTACGTGCATTCTGGGTAAACTTGCATAAATATTAAAGCAGACATATGCATCGTCTTGATCTACTTTACCTTTCTGTTTTTTTGCTCCATGGGAGAAAGAGAGAACATTCATTAGTCAAAAAGTGCATTAAAATTCATTCACACAAATCTCCTTTATTCACAAGGACCCACACTTCGACCTGATCTCCAGTGTGGGTGTGTGAAGTTCTTTATACCATGAAAACGTTCACTGACTCTGACGCTGTATAACTCTATTGGCTTAGTGTGGAATCTGGGGGCAAACAAATTTACATTTTTAAAGCTGTTCCAAGTCCAATTTTGACCGGAGAAACACGGCCAACAATATCTGCAAAACACATTCAAAACACTTTCACCCAAAGGCCTCTCCATACGCCAGGTGAACAGAGCCAGGTTTAACCATCAGTGAATGGACTGGACTACTGAACACTGTGTGTTAGTTCTAAAATACTATTTTATTTTGAATAAAGAAAGGTATAAATCTAGCGATAGGAGACACGTGACTGTAGCTGAAACATCAAAAATATAACCTCAGCCATGCTACGATGTTAGTATCATACCAGGAAGCAGGCTCCTATTGAACAGTGATGGGAGTATCGATTCCATGGTATTGATATATCACAGGTTTTCTGAGAGTAATCAATACTCACCTGAGCATTGATGAAGTATTGATGCTAATTAATACATGAAAAAAGTACATGTGTCACTTCCACATCTTTTAGGGTAACTCACTACATACAGGCTACAACGCCCCCTAGTAATTTAAAATTGAACTGATCCATTTATGTCATGTGACCACTGACCAGAAGAGAGCAGTGATCAAGTCTACCAGACCAGTGTTACCCAATCTTTTTTGTAAATAGGACCAGTCAGCCGGTATGAGCGGTTACTATGGAACGGTAATACCGGTTAAATTGTGTAAAAATAAAGTAATGTAATTTGTTATAAGTAATATGTTAAATGAAAAAATGCATATTAAAGTTGTTCAAGAGTCAGTATTTCACATGTCAGCAGTATTGAATGGTATCACCCATCACTATTATGTATGTGTCAAGTCATCGCGAAAGCCCCTGCAGCTTATCATGTTTAGAAACCTTCACTTCTCTAACTGTCCATCCCGTGTCCTCCTGCTTCAGTGTTTTAAAGGTTGAAGTTTTCTGTCAAAGCCAAGGACAGTAGCAGGTCTGTCGCTCCTACAGCTGTCAAGCTTGTTTCTCTGGGACCACGGCGACAGGTCTGTGACTATCAAATACTCAGTGTCGCTGTTTGGCAGCTCTCACTGTAGTGAACACATACTGTAGTAAAGACACTGGAAATATGATTTATACTTCCCAGATCAAGTCATACTAAAACTAAGCTGCTGACTCTGCCTTCGTCTTCTGTGGCATCTGTGATGTGGAGGTCAGACATCGTGTCTTTGACTCCAACAGTCCAACATGCTGTGACTGTGTACTACAAGTCTCTGTGTTAAAAGATGTAGTAGTCATTTATGGATAGGTGCATTTTCAAAATAAATACTATAGGTCGTGTTATTGACGGATGCTAAATTGATGGACTCACTTCAAATGAAGTCAATTATTAGTTCTTTCACTGCAGACTGAAATGAACCAAGAACCGGTCTGCGAACCAGATGTCTGGGACTGCTGTTCTATCACTAAAGCTACCGTGCATTTTCTATTTTAAAGACCACAATGAAAAATTCATCATTGCTTGTTGATTAACCATAATTAAACTAGGAAATATTGATGTTAAGTTCTTGAGTAGGGGACAGCTGTTGGTTTGTCCGCATCCTTAACCACTAAGCCACCACTTTATATTAGTATTTTAGTATTTTAACCTTATATAGAGAGAGCCTCGAGCTCATTCCCAACAATATACATTTTACAGCCATTCTTGGCATTTCATTAAAGCATGTTGTTGTAAAAAAAAAGAAAAAAAACATTTGAATGTGTTTTCCACCTCCTGACTGCTGTCTGTCTGGCTTCCCCGCGGAGTGAGGCCCTGTTTGCGGCGGTAAACCAGATGTTTACAAAAAAAAAAAAATCCTCAAGTTTTGTGTTGTTGAGAATGAGCACAGCTTCTCTAGACTTCCATTAAACACCAAGAAAAAGGACAGAAACTTTTGCCAAACACTTCCCGCGTGAATTGTTGTAAAACTAACAGGAACCGCAGCATATGTGGTGGTCAGCTGAAAGCTGTTGTTGCCAAGAAACGTGATGCGTTTAAGACCCTTACATTTTAATTCTAAAAAGAATTTACTAAAACCACATGTGATGTGATTTTAATCAATCCGTTTCCCTTGCAGCGGGATTTTTGGATCAGTTTTCACCAAAAAAAAAAAAAAAATAGAAAATTCATCTCTAGCCCAAACATTTTTTTTAAGCTAAACACAAAAACAACAGACACAGAATCGCCCATAAATGGATCTAAAGAATTAGTTGGAGTGATGTCACCGGAGGAATATTCACACCTGTTGTTTACTCCTTCGTGCTCATGGACAATGTAAGACGAAAGGCCGATTAAGGTTAACTCCGTGAGGCTGAAATCCCAAAAAATAACAATACAATTGTGTTGTACCATAACTTTTAAATGCGACTTTTTTTTTAGTTTACTTTGATATACCTATGACCTGACTGTTGTAAATCAATTATTTAGATTTATTCTACAAACTCTTTTTTTACTCCATATTAGTATTTCCTGAACTTATTTACTGGGGACCCATATTTTAAAAGTCACCAACTTTCGCAGCCCAAGCCAATGGACATTATTTATAAACTCCTGGAAACATGATGCGAGACGTCCCACCTGAGGGTCGCGACCCAGTCTTTGAGAAACAATGCTCTATATTAAATGATTTTTATCTCATATTCTTTTCTGGTCAAATTTGTATATTTAATTGTATATCATTGGCTGCGTTCGGTGGACAACTTCTTTCCTCTTCTATTTCTGCCTCTTCTTCCCCAGTTTAAAACACTACAAATTTAAAAAAAAAAATCTTCTGGTCTAATGATGATTCTCAGACAACACCAACCCTGGTGGAGGGGTGGATCTTGTTCTTGCCTCAAAGCGAGAAAATCACCAGTTCACTAGTTCAGTCTCTGGTCCCTCTAATGAGGTCTGCACAGTCTACCAGGGTGTGTGTCCATAATCACACAGATTCTGTTAATTAGCCACTCTAAATTGAACATAAATAAGAATGCTGGTGTGAATGGTTGTCTCGACTTGTGGCGCTTTGACACATCACAAGACTGAACACTCTATCCAAGTATTCTTTACTCACTAAATTCAGGCTAACACTTGTAAAATTGATTCACTAGAGAAACTAGAGATGGCTCCATCCGATACACGTGATCGATAGCTGTCCGATATTAGTCAAAATTTGAGGATCGGATATTGAAAACAAAAAAACAAAAAAAAATTGTAGCCCGTCTCATCTGATACCTAAGCCCAAATTCTCAACCAAACTTTAAAGTCTGGAAGTAGCAGATACTCCAAGTTGCAGTACCAGTATCAAACATCCAAAAACATCGAGCCATCCCTGAGAGAAACCTCTGAAACCTCTGTTGAGGACAGATGTGAGTCAATTTCTCAGTGGGAACAAATGTCCATTCTTAACAGACTTCAGATTCTTTAACTAGTTTTTTTTGTTCAATTATATTAGGGGTGAAGCTAACGTGTAAGACAGTGAAACACATTCATGTGAAGTGCCTACAGCAAACATATGTCTCGTACTCTTTTTTTATGTCTATAACCGTACTGTTGTTTTCCGGGAAAAAACAACGTGAAAACTGGAAATGATTTGAAGGTAATTCTGTGCTGCACGGAGATTTCTGATAAGTCACAGTAATATTCCTAGAACTGAGGTATGTGTGGGGGGAGGAGGGGGTGTTTACAGATTTGTGGGAGGTTCACATCAAGAGTGTTTATTGTATTTATGGACGGACTATTAAGTGGAGTATTATTGAGTCTCCGTCAGTCATTTGTTGCGTCCCCTCAGTCACAGGTCACAGTATTGTAATGGAGGTGATAAATCCTACAGACGCCTCATAAACAACACATGCTCGGCACTGTTGTGAACAAAAGCAGACAACTCAGTCAAGCCAGGATTAAATGATCCCCCGTGAAAAGGCTGAGAGGAGGATTATGAGATTCAACCAACTCCTCTTGTGATGGATAAGGAAGATAACCCATAATACGTCCTGATAGGTGGGTACGTCTTTTATGTTCTCCGCACAGAAAGTGATTCAGACGACATCAAGATAGAAATGTGACTGAATTACACGGCGGACATCAGACCTGCTCTGAACTTCGTAAGATTTTCTTGTTTGCACTTACCTTTCTGTTCTTCGGTCCGCAGGTTTATCTGTGCTTTGAGGTTACTCATCTGCAACAAAGAGGCCAAAACAAACAGCTTAGGAATAGTTCAACACTTTCTTGAGCAACAAAGTAAAGAAAAAAAAACGATAGTAGGTCTAATTACACCTGCTATGCTTTGCATCTACAAAAATAAACCAAAACATTCATCTTCCGCAGCGTTGGTTCTAAAGCTGTACGTGTTAAAAGAGCTGCACAATTAGTTTTCTACTGTAGTGCTGCAAAAACGCCGCCGTACCGCGCACAAACACTCGACCCCTCGCATCGAGGGCAAAATGTTAAACGTTAATTACCGTCACATCCTTGAAAGTCTGAGGCTGCAGCTTTATTTTCATCGCTGTGACAAAGGCCAGAAAGTAAAAAGAAATGACGTGTACGATTTCATGGACGTTGAAATGTTTGACTTAAATCAATACTAAATTCATGGGTGGATTATGCAAAAGAGCGAATAAGGTTAAAGGTAAATAAGTTTTTGGATGTCACAAGCTGTTGGAATGATAACGCGGTCAGAGGCGATCGGGAATGAAGGGGGCAAGTAGCCCTTGACAAACCAGAATTGGTCCTTGACATTCTCAGGGTTAATGGGTTTAATTCCCCCTGTGAGCCTAGGCAAAACTTACAAAAGAACAAGAACAAAAAAAAACCCCAAGCACACACAAATACAAATACACACTCGTACCGAACAAAGTGAGCGGTATAACTGTGGACCCATGTTTTCAAAGTGTGTCGAGGGGAACCTTGGAACGCAATAGTGTCAGGACTCCATCGATGCTAGCTCGGGTCACTACATTTACATCAGTGAGTGGTTAACATGGACGAGCCTTCTATTAAGGATGGAGGAGACGGCACGTCTTAACGTATCATCACCAACTAGGTGTTGACTTTCATCACAAAAGAGTGGACTTGAAGTCAGGTGACCACTAATGTATAATCATAATATATTACATATATATTTATATATGCATATATATTTACATATGTATATGTATTTATATATGTATGTGTATATACATATATATAAACACACATATATACATATATACATATATAAACACACATATACATATATATATACATACACATATATGTATACATACATATATAAATATATATATGCACCTATACATATACACGCATATACATTTATATACATACAGTATATATACATACACACATATATATATATATACATACATATATAAATATATATGCACCTATACATATATTTTCCTCTGGTAGTGTCACGGGTACATTTGTATTCTTTGCAACAGACGACGGGCTCATTCTGACGGTGTTTACAATAGAGCTGTGCATTAAAATTGCAGTGGCGCAGTGGCGTGTTACAGTATTTGTTTGTCTCCTGCTGATTTTCTGCAGAGATGACAGTTCGTCAAACTACAGCAAACACAGTGTCTCAGGCGCAGCGGTCCCACCGAGCTGCAGTATGTGATGCTGCATTGTTAACACATCAAGCAAATACAAATGTGTTTTTATGAAAAGAAGAGGAAAAAAAATAAAATGAGTACAAAGAAGAGGGAGGCTGTTGTCTGTGCTCTCCGAGAAATGGAAATTTCTTTTGCTGAAATTCATAACTTCATATGCTGCTGAAGAAAAGAAGAACTTTTATTAAAGGAAAACTCAAAAGCCTACTACTAAAAAAAGAAAAAAAGAAGAAGAAAGGATGTCTACGTTTTAGAAACGATGTCTCGGAGACTGGTGGTGGCTGGAGTATAAAGAATGCACATCAGTACAAACACATTTTAGATGTTGTTGGGAGACTGCCCTGACAGCACGACTGAGAAGCTCTACGCCAGCACAGAGCTCTGCTGTTTGTGGAGCAGTACACCTCCAACAACGCCACAAACAAAACATTACAATTTTAAATATGAACAAATCATTTTAACCCTAATAAACCAATTCAAAATTCAAATTAATAAGAATATAAAATACATACATACATACACAGACTACTTTTTAGGTCTAAATGAAATGTCTCATGCTAATTTTAAACCTTGCGTGTTTTCATTGTTTTCAAAAAAATTCTATGAAAATGAATATCTTCTGTCGTGTATGTTCATATTAGTGATGACTCCGACCTCCCATGTAAAGACAGAGCACGTACGTAGCTATTAAACACCACCCAGTAGCTCAGCGTCAACTCGTAAATCACGTAGCTTTAGCTTTTCCCCAGACCGTTGTCATGCTATCAGGTTTACCCCATGAGATTATCTGCCATGAATCTGCCTCTTATCAGATTTCTCCGTCCACCAACAGGAAATTGTTTTTGTTGTTGTTGTTGTTGTTGTTTTTTTACAACATTACTCTGTGTTTAGGTGCAGTAGTCCTATTCCTATCTTCAAGTTTATTACACAAGGAATGATTTTGTTATCATATAATGAGCTTTACAGGAAGTATAAACAACAGGGGGCGCCCTGTTGAACATAACAAGGGAAGTCTATAAAAACATTATATAATAATATATAATAATAATAATAATATTATTGTTGTCATTATTATTGTTGTTATTATTATTATTAATATTTAATTATACTTAATTTATTATATATTTTAATTTATAT